TTGGCCCAGGATCGAGCATTGTTTCGTTCTGCTGTGCATGGGGTCGCTATGAGTCGGTTCCGACTCGATGGCACCTGACAACAACAACAACCATGATGTTTGGAGTGTCCTGGTGTGATGCTACAGGATAAACACTGGACCACAAGATTGGTTTGAACTGCAAGGTTGGTGGTTCAAACTCACCAGGCACCCTAAGGAAACCTTATGAAGGGTCGCTATGAGTCAGAACCAACTCAATGGCACTTAACAGCAACAACAATCACAATGTTCTAGTTTAACAAATAACAGAGAAACTACAGTCAAATACACCATCAAGTACATTTTTTAGTTCAGCTGATGATTTCTTGACTTATTGATAGTAAGATTGCCTTACTGAAGGAAGTGTTTAGTTGGCACCAATCCCTTACTCCACAAGGACTGGTCTAAAAGTTCACTAACTGACTACTTTGAATAGCACGGTTCTAAACAGTGACCCTAACTAAACAAAGACTTCAGAGAAATGAAACCCATACCTCGGTTTGTAGACTGAAGAGTTTCATCCAAGGCACAGAAGTTGTTTGTTTGAAGAGTTCATCATTTTCATCATTTTGTGACTGAAAGATTGATACATAGTCACTTCTTGCTGCATTAGGTTTTGCTAGAAACGTTGGTGTGGCACAGCATTTCATTGTAAAAGAACTTAGATCAGGTTGGGCAGACTCTAATAGTGCAGACCTACCAGGAATATTTGATAGAAATGAAACTGGTAATTCACCGTCATCAAAAAACTCACACGCTTCAAAACTAAGGTCTTCATCAGAGAATGAACAAATGGGCGAATTTTCGGTACCACGAAAATAAGTATCAGTATCGGTACTGGAAATGTGAGGGGAATATGGATCGGGATCAGAGTGTATTCCAAGGGAAGTGCCACTATCATGGCAGACCTCGGATTCTTGGTGCATTTCAGGTGGTTCAATTTCAGGTGGTTCAATTTCAGGTGGTTTCATGTCAGCTTCTTTAATATGAGATGACTGGAAGCCAAAGAATCTTGGAGGAGCTCCAAAAGCAGGAGGACATGGAGGGAAACTGAAAGATTGGCTCTGAGGAGCTCCAGGAATAGGAGGAGGAGGAGGAGGACGTAGAGGGAAACTGAAAGATTGTTTCTGAAGAGCTCCGAGAGGAGGAGGAGGACATGGAGAAGCTCCGGGAAGAGGAGGAAGAGGAGGAAGAGGAGGAAGAGGAGGAGGAGGACATGGAAAGAAACTGAAAGATTGGCTCTGAGGAGCTCCAGGAGCAGGAGGAGGAGGGAAACTGGAAGATTGGCTCTGAGGACTCAACCTGCAAGAGAAACGCAAACCAAGGGAAGGATCAGGAAAATCGTGGGTCGTAAGATTTTGAATAGACTGTGTGAAACCAGCAGGAGAACCAAAAAGAGAGCTGTTAATAGCAGTGGAACCAGGAACAGGAGGAGGGGCAACTTGGCAGATTGATGAACCAACAGGATGAGGTGAAGACTTGGGAAGAGGCTTGGGAAGGACTTGTAAAAAGCTAGGTTGTTCTTTAGTTTTTACTGCTTCACTTAAATCCGTCTGAAATGAATCCAATGTCAGTGCCAAAGGTATACATTCAAAACTGTGTGCTGAAGATTGTCCTGGGACTTGTGGGGCTACACCAAACACTTCAGCATCTTCAAAAACTTTCATCTTGTGCGACTTCTTCCTCTTAATCAAAGATTTAGGTTGCTGTTCTTCATTCCATTCAGAGGGTGTTGAAACAGCCTACCCAGAGGAGAAAATGATAACGTAAGGAGAAAATACAGAATAAAACTAACAATCAACAAACACACTTAAGAATTGTTGGCAGTGAAGCAATTACTTACACTAGAGCAAAGTCCCCAAATCAGGATCACTACCATGGCAAGAAATACTGAAAATCAAATAAATCCGAGATCTTCAAAATGAGTGAAGTACAACTCTCCCATTTTATAGATATGGAATTTTAGAGCTGGGGAGAATCCCAGCAACAAATGCATCACATACTAAAAGGTCTTGTTCTGACAATCACAGGTTTTAAACAGATGAGAAAACAGGGATTGAGTGATTAGCCCAAGATGTCACAGTTTGCAGAATCATAGTGTATAAGTGTGCCCTCAAATAAGTTAATAACTTAAAGTAATTTTTTTCTAGGTTTTTAAACACTGCTTTTATAGCAACATTAAGACTGGGAAAAGTGAAAAGCTATTTCAAAAGCTTTAGTCACTAAATGAATATACATTTATGCTAGGATACAAACAATATATACAATAAAGGGCAGTGAAAGTTGCTATTTCTACTACTATAATTTGAATCTAAATGCTGTTGTTGTTGTTAACTGCCGTCGAGTCGGTTCGGAACCAAAGTGATCTTGTATAGGGTTTCCGAGGAGCAGCCGGTGAGCTTGAACCACCGACCTGATGGTTCAAAGTGACTTTTCAGTCCAGCACATTAACCCAAAGTGCCACACCAGGAATCTAAATGTAGTGGTTCCTTTCAAAAGTTGCATATAAACCAAATTTTTAGATGCATAACAACGCCTGGTGATTAAAGTTAGTATTTTATAAATATTAGTACCTAACTATACCAAGGAGTCCTGGTGTGGTGTTGCAGGCTAATGTGCTAAACTGCAAGGTCCATGGTTCAAACCCACCAGCTGTTCCTTGGAAATGCTATACAGGGTTGCTATGGGTTGGAACTGACTCAACAGCACTTAACAACAACAACTATACCAAAGTAAGGGACCCTGGTGGTGTTACAGGATAAGTACTGAATGGCTAACTGTAAGATTGATATTCAAATCCAATTTGTATTCAAAATCAACTCAAATTTATGGAGAGAAAGATGAAGCTTTCTGCTCCCATAACGATTTACAGCCTCAGAAACCTGAGATAGAATCAACTCAAAGACAGTGGGTTGGGTTTGGCATACCAAGGTAAATGACTGATTAAAAAAGGAGTAGCCTTTTCCAACTCAGTCAAGTTCCAAGAATACATTTAAATCATTAATAATATAGAATATATGACAAAACACACATTTAAAATTAATATTTTTTACATAATGCTTTTATGGTCAGAACATTGTTTTGTAATTAGTCAAACAGACTGCAGACGAGCAATAGTAATGGATTAAATCTTTGGGATGGTAAAGCATTTTATAGAACTACAAAATTAAGACACACAGATCAGTGGAACAGAGTAAACGGCCCAGCGATATACCACAAAACATGGGAATTTAGTAGATAATAAGATGGTTATTTCATATCAGTGAAAGAAAAAGGATAATGACTCAATGTGTGGCACTAGGAAAAGGGAATAACTATTCGGGAAATAATAAAGTTGGCCCCATACTTCTTTTCTAAAACCACTATAAATTCAAACGGAATGAACAACTTTCAGAAATTCATATTACAAAGGACATATTTTCCCAGCATAAAAATTCCCAAAAATAAATAAGAAAAGGACTAACAATACTCCAATTAAAAAATGCAAAGGACATGAATAGATCATTCATCTAAAAAGGAGATATGTAGGACCCTTAAGAATAAAAACCATGCTCTTCAGTCATAAAGGAGAAAATGAAAACGTCTCTAATACACTTAGTGACTCCGGATTTTCCCACATTCCAATATAATACTTTGTTTTCTCAAGATACCCTTTGAAAATTTCTGTTCAGCTCTTCTACTTCATCATTTTTTTCCTTTCACTTTGAGCTACTCTATGTTCAAGAACAAATTTTAGTTTCTTCTGGCATCCACTTTGGTCTTTGTTTTCCTGTCTTTTTTGTTGTTGTTGTTTTCCAGTTACGTTTTTATTGTGAATTGAGTGATAGTCTACATGGGAGAACATTAGTTTTACACTCATCCTATCATATTTCATTTCATTGCAATGATCACAATCCCTTCCATGCATCACCATTCAACAGTATTTGCTTCTATTCCCTCTGTTTTTTTCTTTTTTTTTTTTTTGATGCACACAAAAACACTCAGGAATATATAATTATTTAAACAACCAAAGGCCGCATTCTGCAAGCCTGCCTCCTGGCTGCCAGCACACAGCCTTTCTCTTTCCATGAGTCTAGAGTCCTCAGATGTTCTATCTCTCCATGCTATCATCTCTGCCTCCATCTCTGGTGTCACTGCTCCTCTGGATAGTGTCCTACATTCTGCCCCTGCTTTTCTCCCTGGATGGTCCTACAGTCCTCTGTTCCTAGACTGTAAGGTTAACTACTCCCCCCTTTATGTTACAAAACTTCCACCTTTACAGTTGTGACAATTGCAATTAGTCATGATAACAATTACTCACTATTGACCCATAAGAGTCTTATCCCCATCTCCTTTCACCAGACCTGCCTAGACAGGATGAAAACCACTCTGTGGGGATTCTACCTTCCCCTGTACACTCTGAAACTAAACTCCCTCTTGAAAACTTGTAATCCAGTCACTTCATGCCTTTCTAGCCCATTTTAAGTAGCCAATGTCTAAGTTGACCGTCCCTATCAACCCTGTGTACAGAGGGGATGGGAATGATCCTTGCTGTGAAGATTCCCTCTTGGTTCTGTCCTCTCTTTTAAAGGACCTTTTGCTTTCTTCATGTATTGTGTTCTTCGTGTCATCCCACAAGTCCACTAGTCTTCAATCATTAGTGTTCAAGGCATAAAATTTGCACCTGAGGTGGTCTCCGAATTCAGGTGAGATTAATACTCAAGCTTGTATTTTGGCTCTCAAGAATTTAACTGCTTTCAGCTTCAGACTGATCTTGCATATGAGCAACTGATGATCTGTTCCACAGTCGGTCCCTGGCCTTGTTTTGGCTGATGATATTGAGCTTCTCCATAGTTTCTTCCCACAGATGTAGCCAATTTGATTCCTATGTCTGGTGAGATCCACGTGTATAGCCACCATGTATGTTGTTTAAAAAGGCATTTGCAATAAATAAGTTGTCTTGCAAAGTTCTATGAATGTGACCTCCAGTGTCATTTCTATCATCAAAGCCGTATTTTCCAACTACCTACCCATCCTTCCTTGACAGCACTTAACAAACACAATGTATTTTTCACCTATTTTGCTAAAAGTTGTCGTCAGGTACCATTGAGTCAGTTCTGATTCATAGCAAACCTATGTACAACAGAGCAAAACACTGCTCCGTCCTGCACCATTCTCACAGCCCTTGATGTTGTATTGTAGACACTGTGTCAACTCATCTTTTTGAGGGTATTCCTATTTTTTGCTGGCCAATCACAATGTCCTTTTACAGGGGCTGGTCCTTCCTGCTACATGAGATGAAATCACCTCATCCTCACTTCAAAGGAGCATTCTGGCTGTGCTTCTTCCAAGACAGATTTGCTTGTTCTCCTGGCAGTTCGTGGCATTTTAAGGATTTTTCTAACACCGCAATTCAAATGCATCAATTCTTCTCCAGTCTTCCTTGTTCACTGTTGAGCTTCCATAAGCAAATGAGGAGACTGAAAGTACCATTGTTTGAGTCCAACTCATTTTAGCTCTCAAAAAGACATTATTGATCTTCGTTCGACATTTTAAAGAGATCCTTTGCAGAAGATTTGCCCAATGCAATACATCATTTGATTTCTTGACTGCTGCTTCCATAAGCATTGATTGTAGATCCAAGTAATGTCTTAAAACCACCCCACAGCTCCACAAGACTTCATTCATTAGTATTCAATGCACCAAATGTGTTCCTGAGATGCTCTCTAAATTCAGGTGGGATATACTCCAAGTTATATTTTGGCTCTCAGGAATTTTTTTGAATTATCTTCAGCTTCAACCTGAACTCGCTGAAATTCTTGACAACTTCGTTCTTTTCTCCATTTATCATGATGTTGCTTATTGGTCCAGTTGTGAGGACTTTTGTCTTCTTCATGTTGGGGTGTAATCCATAATGAAAGCTGTAGTCTGATCTTCATCAGTAAGTGCTTCGAGTCCTCTTCTTGTTCAGTAAGATTGTGTCATTTGCATTTCTCAGACTCTTAATCAATCAACCTCCAATCCTGATGCTGCATTCTTCTTCATCTACTCCAGCACACCTTTACTGATTTTAAACTACTCAGTTCTCCTTGTGCTACTCAAGGGACTGCCTCTTGGTTCTGCGTAAGCACAATTAAGCGTTAGTGAATTCCTGTTCTTTACAATGTTATACATAGTTTGTCATTCACAAAGTCAAATGTCTTTGCAGATTCAATGAAAACAAGTACACTTATTTCTGGTATTCTCAATTTCAGCCAAGGTCCATCTGAATCCTGAATTTCTGGCAGTTCCCTGTGTATGCACCGCTGCAACCATTTTTTAGTTATCTCCAGTAAAAGTTTACTTGCATGTAGTATTAATGATATTGCTTGATAATTTCCACATTCTGTTGGTTTACCTTTCTTTGGAATGGGCACAAATACGGGTCTCTTCCAGTTGGTTGACCAGGTACCTGTTTTCCAAATTTCTTGTCATAGACAAGTGAGTTTTCCAGTGCTGTATCAGTTGGTTGAAACATCTGGATTGGCATCCTGTCAACTCCTGGAGCCGTGTTTTTCGCTAACGACTTCAATGCACTTCAATACCATTGGTTCTTGATCATATGTTACCTCAATACAGTTTGATCATCGACCAGTTCTTTTTAATGCAGTGACTGTGTGCATTCCTTCCATCTTCTTTAGATGCTTTCTACATCCTTCAATATTTTGTCCATGGTGTTGTTGTTAAGTGGCCGTTGATTCAGTTCCAACCCATAGCGACCCTG